AAAAATGTAGTGTAACAGAAGTTTAGAAGAGTCATAGAGTCAGATAACTCAGCTAAAACTAGCCTTACTTGGCCATACCAGACCAAAATATATTATTTTTCTTTTAAAATTCACAAACAACTCTAAAACTCTAAAATATGATCACCTGAGAAGTAAAATATGACTGCATACATAAACGCTTTGACAGCTCAATTAAAACAGAATGCAGGTAAAAGTCCTTTCTGCGTCATGTCTCCTCCTCCATGCCTATTGTTTCCCAGTATGTACAGTAGAGCATGTGGAAGAAATTAACTCTGGTTAGCACTACAATCTACTGTAGGAGAACAGAGGCCACTCACAGTAAGCAATCATAACCCATTAAAGCTTTCGAAATATCAACCTTGGGTTCTAAAAACCCACTTAGCTTAATGAAAAATATGTCATCAGCTGAGGCTGTGAAAGAATGAGTCCTGGTCATTGAGCTGAATGGGTCTTAAGGAAAACATGACATGAGAGTAATGGGGACTTTATTGGGCAGACATGCTGTTTGAACATCACTTAAGTAAATGTCTGCTCTCACTCTAATTGGTATTGGTGTCATGAAGTCTCACTTGAGACTCATTGATGGGTTTAGGGGTTCGCGCAATCTTTGTTAAAGATCACTGAGCAGCCAGAGGCAAGTGGTCAAAAATCCATCCCATCCCTGTTTCAGACATTTCTGTTAGACACAACATGATAAATGAGACCCCCTTTTTTAGTTCTTCATGATGAGAATTTTAATTTATCTTAAAAAAAGAAGTAGCAAACAATTAGAACTAAGGGTTTAAAATGGATGACCAAATACTAAATAAACATTTCTAAGTAAGATAAGTCGTTTACAGATAACTTAATCATAACTGATACTTTGTGACAAATGTATTTATAGAACTGAGGTGGAAAAAGAAGTCCTGGGATTTTTCAAAAATGTCAGGTAAATAAACCACAAATAGATGAATAAATACAAAAGTTTGTCAAAGGTGCGACAGAGTTAAAAGTTGATGACACCACAGGATCTTGGTTTTTACAGGAAACCAGCAGAGCATTTTTTTGGTAGCATAAATTTTTATTTCCCCAAGGTAGTCCTTCTTGAAAGGTAACTAAATTAAGATGAAGACGAAGGTAACCGAGTGAACACTTCCTAATATTTCTCTCAATTACGGCTGTGTCTCATGCTTTTTCAGGGAGCAATATAAGGGAAAAGAATCTAAAAGAAAATCTGTCAAAGAACTTCTATAAACCAATAGAGACTTCTCGGCAGTAACAATGCTGCTATAAAAGCCTGCAGGATTTCCCCCTTGACACACAAGTTACTGTTCTATAAGCCGTTGTTTTACACTAGGTTGTTATTAAGGTTACTCCTGTCAAACAAGAGAACATGTCTTCATGCTTCCCTGCATCAAGTCCCACATGGAGCCACACCTCCCAGACAGCCATCCATGCTATTCCATTCTGACACTAATATTGCATCTCATAACCATGATATCCAATCACCTTCTACGTGGATGGAAAGAGAGCCAAGTATAATCAGTCGTGGTCAGGCAGTGATGGGCAGCAGAAACCCAAGGTGCTGGCAGGGGCCCAAAGGCTGTATCTGGGCACACATTTGGGTGTGTGTGTGTGTGTGCTGTGTTTGACAGGTTAATAAACCGTTGTCCTACAGAAAGAGTACCAATGTGGGATTTATCTGTTAGCGTTTAGTTTTACACTTAAAGCCATACAAAGCAACTTTCCATTCTTAAATCTGGAAAAGTATTTGTCCGAGAACTCTTAAATTTCACATAATACACATTCGTACCAAGTTTGGATTCAGCTCGAAAATATCAGCAGAAGGTAACAATTTTTACAAGGGCTGCAGCTAAGAGGTTAATTTTTTTGATTAAGTGATTTTTTGATTAAGTGATTGTTTGGTTTATGAAACAAAAAAAGCCTCTTACAATATCCTAGAGCCTAAAGTAAGTTAATAAAATGTCTTGTTTTGTCCAACCAACATTTCTTAACCCCAAAATATAAGATTTACTGTAATATATGACCGACGCAAGCAATAAATCCTCAAATTTGAGAATCTGGAAAGATCAGTGATTCATCGATTAAGTTGCAGATGAATCTCCTCTTGATCAAATAATCAATTGATTGACTAATGATTGCAACTCAAAATTTTTACCAATTTGTATTGTAAACTGTTGAAGAAAGCTGTCATTTTGGCACTTTACTTTAAGGTGAATTTAATTTCAAGTGTGGGAAAAAAATCTGATTTAAGGAATGAGAAAAGCAGATCTAACTGCAAGCTTTAGTTAACAGTTTTGAACTTCATTTTTAAGTGTTAGCTTATCCTGCCAGGAGACACCAGCATGAGGAGTTCGTTTTTGCAAAGGCAATGAATCTGTGGAGTCAGACGCTTTATTAAAATTAAGAGGTGATTGCTGCAACATATCATTGAAGATGAACAGGTCATTCACAAGAAGCCTTGGGGATGTTCAGAAAATGTTTCAGTTAATTAAAAAGATAAAGAAGGATTGTTTAAGTATATATAAACTTCTCTAAAATATCTATATAATTGGGTGTTTTTGCAGTTTAAACATTAAGAGAGAAATAGCCACCTGAACTGATCTGACTGCTCTGTACTTCGGCTAAACCAACCAAATTGCAGCTATTTTTTGTCTCTCTTGATGACTTCATTTATAAACATCCATGGGTGTCAGGTGATCACAATTTGAATTAACCGCAGAAAGAAACTGAGAAAAACAACGAAGCACAAGTTCCCATGTTCCAAACCCTCTTAGTCATCGTAAAGAAGGTGATTGCAGTATTTTAAAACATTAATAAGCCCACAGAAGTTTTAGCTTCTAAAAAAAAATCAAAGATTTACAGCCTCTGAGAAGTACCAGTGGAACTGTCGGAGCTTAAAGAGTATCCATGAGGAAGCTTTTCATTTAGAGTGTATAAAACATGTAAATGTTCGCCCCAAAACATGGAAACATGGAAATGTTCCCTAATGAAAGCTTCAGCAGGAGGCTTCATTAGTCGAAGGTCTCTAGAAAGTGAAAAACAACATAGAAATTCTGTGATACTGTGCAGACTTCACAGCTAAGTGTGCTGAAATTTTGATGCTCACAACATATTTTCCTCCTCTGACACCACATCCATAATGCCAACACAGTATGAAGTCATTTTGTTTCTTGCGATTTACATTCATTTTTCCTGAATGCTCCATTTTTTTCCGGTGGTTAGGCTTATTGAATGTTTACAGTGAACCTTACAGGTCAACGTGGAGTTTTTGTTGTCAAGCTTCCCTCCTATTTGTCTGTCTGCCTGAGTGTGAAAAATAAACGACATAAATCCCTGCATTGCAGTGGCTTTCACCAGTTCATGAATTAGAACTACATTCATAAAATCCCAGCATGTGTGTATGTGTTGTGTGTGTCGCGAAGCAGAGGATGAAGCCTAATATTACGGGATGGCCCATATTTTTCTTTTTTTCTTGCAAGAGTACTTTGCATGAAGTAGCCGAGCCTCGGCAGGGCAGTGGCTAATGAGCCAGCTATGAAGATGTAGCGAGGACTGCCGCTGCACTTCTCAGGATAAAACGCCCCACAAGTCAACAAACTAGCTCACATCTTATCTTGCAGTTTATTTTAGCCCCTTTTCTCAGACTTTTTTTTACTGTTTTCTAATTTGATCCATGTTATCTTTATTGCACCAAGTGATGGTACAATTTGATTGTCGCTGCATTCTTTGAAATTCAGTGCTTTAATTTGTTGATTGCAAAATAAAATTGTCAGTGGTGTTTTTATTGTTGGCATCAAGGCACTTAAGGCTGGTGTTTTTCAAGATGAGCAGTATGATTAAAGCCACACTATGTAACTTTACAAAGCAATCAGGGGTTTTGCTTTTACAGCATTACTTGGTCTGCTATGACCAGTAGCTTATGGTGCACTGATGTTACAGTAGATATGTGTGTGTTGACTTTATGGCCCTTTTCTACTTGAACTACTGCTACACTATGTTATATCATGCCTCAGACAAGCATTTTATCACTAAGGTAAATCCAGAAGTATAGCATACCCTGACCAGGAGACATTTTTCCAAGGGCCTTCCTCTGTTCAGGTCACATGGTCAGGTTGCATAATTATGATTGATGATGATGAAGTTTTTAAAGCTACTAACTCAAGAGAATCTTGGGAAATACACTAGGTGGCCAATTTATTAGGCACAACCTAATACAATCCAATATAACAGTTCTACCAATAATCTTTTGATGCCTATAATGTTCCGTTTTTTGGGCACTGTCATACAGTTGTTATTATGTGTTTTAGCACTGAGGTCGTAGTTGGTGATGGTGTTGTACTGCACCGGTTTGTATTGAGAGGGGTTAGTATTGTGCCCCCATCGTGGACAGAAAATTACAAACACCTCTTGATATAATGAAGTGGAGTACAAGGGCACTTTTAACTATTACCTCAGTAAAAACACATTATTGAACATTTCTGACAATTTCAACAAAAACTGTACAATATGAGCTCTGGTAAAGTGGAATTTGTAGTAGAGCTATTGTATTGAATTGCAACGAATACAGGCATATCCAATAAAGTGGCCACTGAGTACAAAGCAAACAAAACATCCATGTGTCTTAGCTAAATAACCTTCAAACTGTGGTTGTAGGAAGTTCTTTGTTTAACATCAAATATTAATGACTAAATCAACTAAGTAATAAAGTTTTGTGAAAAAAAAAACATGCAATTGTTATCAAGGTATTTATTTGTATTTTTATGATATCACTTTTCCCCCGAGCATTGCCTACTTCAAACTTGTAAGACAAATATGGAATCTCTAATGTAAAATAACCAAAATTTTCCAACTTTGGCAAATAATTGTGTTTATGTAAGAGCCATAGTAAAAGGGAGAGAATAAGTTTTCAGGACAAACTGTGGCCATATCTTTGCAATAAATCACCATCACTTTTGTCTAACAAATATTGTTCCTACCTGTCTTGGGCTCCACTGAGAAGTAGGGCTGTCCGTGGATGATGCTGTAGACCACCCTGGCACTGTTCCCGTATGTCGGGTCATCTGCATCCGTGGCTGCCACTTGCACTACCATTGTTCCTGTGGGCAGACAGCCCTTCATTAGTTTCCAAGACAACATCCAGAAGCCAAGTCAAAAAGAGCTAAATGTGGAAATAGTCATCATATCAACAGAGCGTGTGACCAATTCTACTTGAAAGGGGGGAAAAAGGGAGAAAGCAATGAAAATGTAACTTCTCAGGCGGTAAATAATCTCATTAGTCATTAGTCATTACACTGTCTTCCTTTGTTGGGACTGATGTTTACTTACTTACTAGTTTTGTACAGAGTTTAATTTTTATACAAAATGCCAGAGTTAAAGCACATTTTCACAGAAACCTTCAGAAGCACCAAACAATCTGACATGTGCTGTGTTCTGGCTCTCAGCCTCAACTGCTGTGAAACAAACAACACTTTTTCTGTTGTTGCCATCATTTGCCGGGATGCTAAAGCAGGATTAAAGTGTAACTCCTAGCCTTTGGAGATCATTCCATTGCCATTATTTCCATTTGCCTCCTGCAGATTAGTTAGGAGCATCTTTTCCGGTAACTTCAATCTGTTGATTCTAATTCAGAAGCCAAATGAGCTCTGCAACCACTCTGTGCTGTGTTAAAGAGGCATTTCACCACCACCAAAAAAGACAAAGCTAAATTATTATGCATCTGATATCACACAGATCCCAAAACTGCTAAGTTTTTTGGTTTTAAAAGAGTCAAAGAGTTGAATTTGTCCTCCAGCAATGTCATAGGAGGACACTGTATCTTTGTGTTGCACTAATTAGGGCTCAATAAAACTCTAGATTAAAGAATTTTATGACACAAAGTTTTAGAAAAAGATACAGTTGGGAAAACATTTTTTTTCCTTCAATTTTTTCTTTTTATTATTACTCTACTCTATTTTATTTGAAAATCTTTGTTAGCATGCACAGATGGTAACCCATCCAGTTCCTGATTTAGGGTCCACAAACTGCTTCTGTTGGTTTGCAGAGGGGGAAAATGTAACTATGAAAACAAAATGATATCTGAGAGAGGCAGGATAGCGGTTTTGTTGCCCAAACATCTCAAGTGTTGTTTGTTTATGATGCTCTGTCAAATTATGATGCTAGTACACAGTGAAAGGCAGATTATCTGGTTAAATGAAATATTCCACAGCTGTTTGGATGCATTGTACTGCTCTTAGTACAGTGAAAAGGTTTTTTCCCCAAATTGAATTTAACCAAAATAATAAGTTATCTATCCAAAAGGGATACACTGAGCCTGCAATCCATGCAGTATAACATTATGAAAGAGAATCCCTTCAATTACCACCCTACACCATAAGTAACACATTAATTGTGAATAAAGATATTTGGTACGGTAAAATAGTGAAAACAAACCCCTTAAAAACACTAATTCAAAGAGTCCTTAACTGAGAAGCATAATTTAAGGGCTATATGGCTTTTAACTTATACATTAATTTGAAATATTTAATATAACACTTCTAATTTCAAGGTGTTATTAAAATATAAAAGAGGGCAAAAACCCATCCAGCCAGTGGATTAACACCTTAACACCTTAATTTGAAAACCCCCACATTTAATAAATCAAGTAGATTTAAAAGGGTGATTTTTGCCCTAATTTGCATGTAAATTTGCTGCTGCTAATACTGCACTTCCAGTTCCCTTGCCTCAAAGTCAGTGTTCTTTGGTTCGATGTCTGAAATAAGGTCTGTGGACCATCCAGTCACCAAGCTTAAAATTCTGTTTCGTGCCTTGCTAAGAGAGAGCGTAAGCTAAAGATAATGGTGTTGAGAAAACTGAAAACACAGTCTGGAGCTTAAATTTGTTCACATTTTTTGGTAAAATTCAGAAACTATGGTGCAGTGATTTTTTCTTAACTGTAACAACAAATTTTAAATTTGCTACTGCTTTGATTCACACCTCTGACTGGCCTCTTCTCCATGGCAACAGTGGCTGAAGCTCATGGGCACTGTAGTATTTAGGCTTGTCCACCATGTCACAAAACATTATTTCTCAGCAACATGTTTGAAATAATTTAAAATGGTGGCCATAACATAAACCTATAATATAGTCTGAGTCTATTGTTTATAGAAAAAATGGAGTAGCGTACACTACATTATCTGTCGCATTGCTTATCCCTATGTAATAGTGTTCATCTGTATGGTCCCAGCATATCAGTTATCCATCATGCTAACACAACACCATCCTCTATTAGCGACTGCAGACAGTTTGCAATGGTAGCTTTAATGGCTGATTGAAAGGGAAGGAATCTGACTACAGTGTACAATATACATTACATTTTCTGTTTAAATAAATTATACCATACAGTTATATTACTTTAGTCTCATGGAAAAAACATTATGCAGTAGAGTAGCCTACTGCAGATGCAAGTCAAGATATAGAGCCTGATTTTGTTTTAGTGGCCAGTAGTGACCCCCAAATCCCCAATCTTCCTCCCAGCTTACAAGAAGGAAATTTGTTTTCAAACTCGACTGTGAACTCTGCTGACAACTGACAACTGTTTCTGCGTGCAATACTGTATTGTCCTCTCCCACTCTTCCTCCGAGGCAGAAATGAAGACATCAGACATGACTCTTTATGCATTTCTCCTTAAATGTACCAACAGAACGTGGTTGATGTGACTTGAGCTGACAGCCGTGCCTCGGAAGGTAAGGCAGAAAAGCTTTTGAAGATTTCCCAGAGAAAACATAATCAGCGACAATCACTGCCAATCAATTTCAATAGGTCATTCATTATCGTATAAATGAGCTTTGTTGCTACGACTGGGCTGTTTTATTAGTTCCAGATTTTTTTTCAAGCAGTGTAATGTAACATCAAAGAATTAGTATCCATTTGAAAATAGAGAGGAAAAGCCATTTAATTGATAAATTCTCACAAACAACCATTATGGTCCAGGCTATTTTTTGCTGTTAGACTGTACGTCAGTGTTGGCATTAAAGCTGACGCCTACCACACACTTGGCAGCGGTGAAATCATTAACAATAGACATTGTTGAAATAACCTTGAAAAAGGCACCATTTTCCATGAGTGTGCCTCTTTCAGTTGGTCAGATGAATAACTGGTTTATGCTCGAATATTTCACTTTAATTGCTAGCTGCACATATCTGGCTGAGCTTGAGCCTATATTGTAACATCTGACAGAAAGTGCTGTCTTACAAGTTGGTGATATTTTACTTTGAAGAAAACATCCTAATAAAAATCTCACTTTCTAACATGAGATGTATTTTACAGGCTTTTACAGAATGAAGTGATCATGGAAATTGAAGATTAGAGTCCTCCATTCTGGCCATAAAGCAGAATTAACAGGCTCTGGCCCCGGATGTGAACACTATAATAGAAAAGAAAAAAGCGTGGTGAAGCTGGAGAAGTTATCACCAAGCCAGTTGTAGAAGGACACCTAGATTATATCATCACCTCTTAGTCATGACAGGTTATATTACAGGTAGTTTAAAACACCAAGGTCAAAGGATGACTGTATGAAAGAGAACTCAGGCAACGTCTAAATCTCTATTACAGGTTGATAGTTAAAATCACTTCTCACAGCGCTCGGCAGACGAGGCTGTAAATTAACATTCAATATGGACTCAGATAGAGCACAGCTTTTAAAGGGTATATTTATTTATTTCTTAGCTTCTTCCTCAGGTTGTTTGCCCTGTAAGTCCAACAAACATCCTGTTCTAACAATATTGTCAGAATGAAAGGTGATACCAGCAGGGTGAGCTGGATGTCAAAAAAACCGTCAAACACCCTGAATAGATTCTTTCTGCTCCATGAGGCTGTCATCTGCTACTCAATTTGCCCTGTCTGTGTCCCTTCAATATTTGTCCATCCTCATTGATGTGATGGATCCGATCTTCACTTTTTTTTTTTATTTATTCCCCGCAGCTGTGTACAAAACAGGTTTCCTAATCAATTTCCGCATCTTGGGTGAGCAACTGTCATCTGCCAGTAATGAAAATAAATGTGGCATGCTTAATCTGAATGGGAGACAGGTATTCTTCAGCCACTTGCACATACAGGCTGCGTCCAACTGTCAAGAACAATATGCATTTCTGAGTGCACACTTACAATGCAAATTTGTTGTGCTGTTTGTTTTGAGGAATGTGACCCAGAATGTGACTTTATCAATACAAACTGCATGTCTTTTAAAACGAGGATCATCTTCTGCATGCAAAAACACAAATACATTTTCACGTAACTAGAGGAGAAACCACATCTGTGACATGAACACAAAGACATAAAGAACAATATTAAAAATACTCAAATGTTTTGTTTGAGCCCAGTAATTCTGCAATTCCTTCATGAGTATTCAAAGCTGCCACCGTTGATTAAGTTGATTATATTCATGCACATTCACACCTGCTCCCCACTGTTTCAGATAAGCAGGGATTATTGCTTAGAGTTCAATCCACATTTATTTGCAATTGCCAAGTGAAAATGAAATACAGCACTTTTAAAGAAAGTTACTGCTTTCTGTGTGTTCTAACATTTTTTAACATTCAAGATACACTTATTAGGTACGCTTGTACAATCTTATACAATCCAATACAACTGTTCTGCCATAAAGGTGACTTTTATGATGTCTATAATGTTTTCTTACACCGTCATCGAGGTGTGATCTATTACTGTATATGTTTTAGCACTGAGGTCACTGAGGTAGTTATGATGTGATGGTGTTGTACTGGACTGCATTATATTCAGAGCTTTGTCTAATAGTCTGCATCTCTTCATGTATGTAAACAGGGAAGATAAAAACTATGAAACACCTTTCAAGATTATGTATTCCAGTACCAGTGCAAACTGGACCTCAGTAATAAACACACATTTACAACAATATCACCAAAAACTGAACAAAGGTAGACATCATGGCAGGGCTGTTGTATTGGATTGCATTTGATTGTTAGACTGTACAAGTTAACCTAATAAAGCGGCCATTGAGTGTATATTTATAACCCATAATGCAAGGAGAAATCACCATAACACCGAACCTCAACCTGTGAGGAAAAAAAATTATTTGGATTGACTTTCCCTAAACTGGAACACCTTTTTCATTTCCAGGATTAAATGACTATCCCATCCTTGATCTCCGCTCTCATGAATTAGGCAGGAACAATGACAGCTGGATAAAGGACTGGTGAGTAGTAAATTCAAGAGCTGTGGCCTTGGGTTGACATTACATTCTCTATGCTTGTAATGAGCCCTCAAACTGCTCCTTTGGCCCTTCGCTGTGCAGCGGGAGAGAGCCAAGACTTGCAATTGTCACACCTCCAACTGTCCTCAAGCTCTCTTGTCTTTTATTTGACATCCCTGTCGTGATTAAGACAAAAGCCTTCAGAGATCCTCGGGCCATAAGGTCTCCATGTGTATGGACGAGCCCTGCCTCTAATTACTTTAATTAATTAAATTCATGATTTCCTCTAAATTGAACCCATTCATCAGCGGTGCAGAGCTGTGACCATTAATGATTTAAAGACATCTATAAAGGAATTATTGAGGACAAGAGGTGCTTGGCCCTTCCCTGTTCTTTACTGCATTGATAATTGCTTTGAGCAGATATTTACAAAGAGAGGCAATGCATTATTCTCCTGTTGTTCTCTCAACTTGTGATGAAGACCTTCACAGGAAAAGGCAGAGTAAATAAAGTGGCGAGGGTGACCCAGCGTCCCGGTGTTTGTGGTGTGAACGCCTCCTCCTCTGTGGTTGATGTACCGAGTTGCTGTCTTATCTCGGGTTGGACACAAGACTCCAAGCCCTTGTACTCTAATCCTCTGGTTCCTTAAGCCTGAGCTCTGTACCCCCCGTTGACAGTCGGCTGTGTAATCCTTCAGAGATCTCCGTGCCTGTGTAGTAAGCAAAGCACTGCTTCTCTTGGAATGACTCCCACCACCAATGTATGCCTGCTGACATTTTTATTTTGACTTTGAAGGTGTTAAAAAAGCCACAAACACCTTTGTTTTCACTAATTTCAATCTGTATGGTGCCATGCATGAATGAGGTATTGAGGTGATGCTGATACGTGCAATGGGCTTTTCAGCTCTCAGTATTTATTGGTGTGAGGAAGTGCAATGTGCTTTCATTTACTAGGCTGGTGAAACCCTGAAATTTAAAGTGGCTTTAATCAACTCTGCAGTGATACAGAGCTTTATAGAGTCTTTCAGCTCATTGTTTTGGTTGTCAGGCCTGCAAGTTTGTTTCACTAGCCTTATAAGGTTGTTTCCAGCTGCAGCAGGCTGTAAAAATGGTCGAAACACCCACTGTACACTATGTGCCCAGTACCAAAGCGCAAACAGACAAATTTAGCCCCTGCCTGGTGAACATAGTGGAGCATTTAGCAACTAAAATGCCAGATAATCCCCTGAGGAGTTGGTGGAGACCAAAAACAGATCCAAAACAGAGTGATTTGGGGCTGAGATGAATGAAAGCTAATGTTGCACTGTATCTACTGGATGGGTAAACAGGTAAGTTCACTATATCAACTTGAAAGGTGATTTTATGTCAGTGTCAATCAGATTCGCTGGCCCAAGTTGTTCAAAGATATATATGAGAGCAACTTAACATCCTATTTAGCTTAAACATTTTTAAAAATTCATTCTAATGCAGAGCCCTGACCCAATTATCATCTGCCGCACACGCTCAATTTTTCTTTTTAAATTACAGTGACAGATACAGTTTTATAAAGAAG